CAACAAAAACATGAAAATATTCTTGATTTATAATTGAAATTAGAGGATATAAAACATTAATAGAGATCATAAAGATAGTATTAACATGGAAGAGAATAATAAAATGTGAAAACTTCTGTGATTAATATGACATTTCATTATATAAATCATTAATAACGGTCTTAAAGGAATTTTAATGCACAAATGAACTGAAGTGAATATTACATTACAGGAATAAAATTACTGTTATGAATTACTCTACCCGTTTCAAAAATTAAAGATAAATGAACTCAGACTAGACTATTAAAGTTTTAAATATAAAATCCTTTATCTAAAAATCATGAAAATTATAAAATGTCAAAGCTATATAAATTAGCATAGCTTTTCTTCAGTGGGCTGAAACAGTTTATAGGTAGTAAAATAAATGATTTGTATCTTTGTAACATTAGTCAAATCTTAAAAAGAACAATTTTTCTTATACAAAATTTAAGATATGCTGAAAGGATTAAAAAGTAAATTCCTTGGTCACTAGAACACCCCACAATCTTAATTAATTATTAGCATCTAAGTGCTATCTTAAGAAATTCCAAAAAGAATAACAAAAGCATCACCTAAAATTATGCATTTGTGATTATATTACCACTGGCTACTCAATCTTCAAAAATCGGTGAACCTATCTTTTAAGGAACTACTGTCCAGCATACATTAACAACTGCTGTACACGGAGACCACAACGGAAAAGAAAGTCACAATTAATGCCATCTTTTAAAATTAGTTTCCTCTTGCACTTCCTATCCTAGCACAATGCTTTAACAAAAAATAAATTTCTCTTTCGACCACTTTCAAGGTAGAAAAGTATATACTCCTGCCTCAGCACTGTTGGTAAGGAAACACAAACTAATCTTGCCAGAAATTTAAACAATGCCGGCAAAGGCATTTTGACAGTGTCACTATATCTAACCAAATTCCGCTCCATTCAATAGCAATTAATAAATGTGAAGGGTACAGCCAAAGTAATATAATCATAAAGCTCTCAATTGAGCTGCATTCTCCTACCGAAATCCATTCAACCTGTCATGTAAGATATCATCTCAATAACCCGCTAGGAAGTCAGTTTCAACTAGAGAACTGAGAATCAATGGTTCTAAATTATATTCAAACCTTCACTCAAATCCTATTTTGATAAAAGTTCCTTTAGATACCACGAAATGCTATTATTTTCATCATGAGAATAAATTATTCTTTGTAGATGTCACAGAATGCAGAATTCTGAACCAAAACCTTAAGGTGCCTTTCCCTATAAATTGTATCCTGCTCTACCTGCAGTACTCCTTCATGTGTACTTTACACCTGAAACATGAACATGTAAATATTTTCAGTGTTCTAATG